TTCAATACAATACTATAACAGAGTATATAAAACACAATACAATATTCTCTATCTCTTTCTCTCTGTTATATCAAACAGAAAAAGCATATTTCGTGTCATTCTTTTGGAGTATTGAAAAATATAAAAATCCAGTTCTCGTTGCGAACCATGTATTCGAGCAAATGTTTGATCGGTCTGTTGTTGACCGCGATATTGAAATGTGTCCACTCTGTCGACCTCAGAGGTGTCACAATTGTGGTAAGAGATTCATTAATTCATTAATTATATCATCATTAATGTCCACAAGTAATACTATACTGTGCTTTTGGCGCTCATTCATCCTTTCAATCCAAGCCTTTCCTCTTCTCTATATAAAAATGTTTACACTTTTCTTGTCTTTTAATTTTATTGATTTTTCTGATTCATATGAAACGTTGGATCCAATCGTATAGAGCAGGGAATGCCTTCAATACCATAATAGTGTTATATATGGATTCATTTACCGTTATTATTTAGTCAATGATATTATGTTTGTTTTGTATTTGGTATCAAAATTGAGGTCATTTTATGTTTATTTGCCGCCGATTTATTGCTTAAGGATTAGATAATGAGCTCGTTTTTGTTTTCATTTAATCAAACAGTATATTCATTGAAATACTTTTAGTCAAATTGCGTTTACAGTTATTTGGATGCGAAATATTTTTACTATATTTGATGTAAAATCAGTAATGAAATGGAGAAATGATTTCATCGAAATCTACCAAAATTATGTCTATTCGTTGTCAAAATAGAGTCTATTTTTAGAAAGTTTTAAAAATTTCCTTTAAATGCAAATATTTTATGAGTTTTAACGATATATTTATATATCATTAAAAATGGATGATTTGAATCATATATTTATTACTATTACATAAAGAATATAACATAACTTATATTTTATTAGTTTGTGTTTTACTAAATTGTACCTAAAATGACATTTTTAATTACATATTTATATAAGTTAGATTATTACAATCTTATTATTATACTGTAGATTTTTAAATAGTTATGTAACAGTACTGTATACCAAATAAAATGCATTCACAGCAATATATATAGTAATTTATGAGCGTTTGAATATTTTCAGTCAACAAACAATTTAATAATACAGTATTTTGTTTGAATAGGAAATGATTTACATTCTCCAGACTTTGATGTGTTTTTAATTAATATTTTTTTCTTGTTAACAAAGAGCTGAAAATTGTCATTAATTCTTAAAACAGTATTTAAATAATGTTTAGAAATCCATTCAAGCCTTTTGACAGAAATACTTTCGTTTTTCATTTTTATACAGAAATTGTCGCACAAATTGATTTCAAAACATGTAATCATTTATCCATTGAATTGAAATAAATATATCTTTTATTTTCTATTCACTCAGTTTTGTACTAAATTTTGTGTGTTTTATATCCAAACAAAAAATATATTGAATTTCAAATAAATGAAATTCACTGTTAGTTTAATATTATATTTAATTTCAAAATAAATAATATTTTTGCATTAAAATTAATGTTTAAATAAGACTACAATTATTGTTAAGTGAAAAACATATTTGTTTAGCGATTTCATAGTTAATGAAATTATATACCACTTCTTGTTTCTGTTTATGGTTTTATAATAATTAACAGACTATAAGTTTTTGTATGGAAAGCTCTTAACAAATCATATCATATAACGTTATAATGATATAAAAACTATATTAAATCAATTACATAAAAATTCATAAATCAATTTTGAAGGTCTAAAACATTCATAAATAGTGGTTCAGAGGCCCACTATTTCCGTGATCTACTTCTATGTTAGATATCAGTGTATTTTTGTTGCAAATTTCAACTCTACAGCAATATATAGACATAAAAGCAGAGATAAATTCAATTGAATGTTATATTTAATTCAATTCTTAACTATAATTAGAAGTGAATTAAAATCTCAATTCATTGCTAAATAAAGAATTATGAATTTATATATTATGAATTATATTATGAATTTTTCTTCATTTAACAAACCATTTATTGAAAGCAAAAACTCGTAAATTCATTATATATTAAATGCCAACAATAAACCGAAAGGTTATTCAGTTATATAAAGTACTGTACTTTACAGTACATAAGAATAAAAGTATTTGATGTATACATTTTTTATATAAATTTAGTATATTTTATAAAAATTTGTATATTTTCTCTTAATGTATTAAAGATATATAAATTAGTATAATATAAGATACATATATATTAAATATACTATTGGTTGACTTGTAATCAATGGGTAACAAGCCGTTGCATTCAATAAAGGCAATTAAGTCTATGTTAAGCCATTAATATGTTATATAGATTTAAGTGTGCCGAAGAAAGTAAATCACATGTGATAACAATTTGCAATAAACACATTCTTAGGACACATATATTGCATGTATTGATTGCTAATAAACCGTAGATATACTTAACATTCAAACGTATTGTAATTATGAAGTGCACGCAATTTGCAAGAATCTCGCATAACTATCCTTAGGTTATAAATGGACATAACATTTATGAACATATTTTTTGTTGCACTTTTGTTGAGCAAAAAGATTACTTTATGGTAAGAAATATAATAAAAATATAAAAGACAAAAAAACCTGTGTTTGAATTCATGGCATCAACACATAGATTACATTCATATTTTCTTTTTATATCGATTTTTGTTGTTCACTATCTTATCGAAAACACTCATAACATGCAAAAAAAACTAATCCTTTTATATATTCATTCAAAGTAATCGTAAAATTGTGTTTTATTTCAATTTATTTAATCTCTTTCTATAGAGTCCTCCGTTTGTGATGAAGGCTCACAACAACCACTTCGAGGGCTATGCCATCGATCTGTTGAACGAATTGTCCAGAATTGCAAAATTCAATTACACTCTCTATCCGACACCCGATGACCGCTACGGCTCGTCCGATAAGACCGGCAAACCTACCGGAATGATACAGGAATTGTTTATGAGAGTTAGTATTTTATTCATTTTTTATTACACACTTTAGTTAATTAATGTTAGACACTTTTGGGAAGAATACATGCATATTATGATTTACTTATATGTTATACACTACTATTAACTATTATATACTATATTTAGTAAATTTATTATACGGTCGATATATAATATTTTACATTTATAGAAAGTTTAGATTACTATTTTTGTAAATATTTATATATTATAATGAAATGTCAATTTTTGGGAACAGCTGTAAATTTACAACTATACAGACATTGCGAACACAACGTTGCAAATGCTTTATATCTACAGTAGAAATAGAGTACAGTATACAGTGTACTGAATAGTACAATAAGGTATTCCAGTCATGAATTAATAAAATAGGAAATCCGTCGAAACTAATGTCATATAAATTTTTTTCTTTAAAAATTTCAATTTAGAGAAATGTTTGAAATTAGGGGAAAAGAGGGAGGGTATTCAATGTATTACACAAAATGTATTATTGCACTTAACAAAACTATAATTCTAGAAATACCTACAAAATTGATATGTTCAAATATCTATTCAAATATTTATTTTTAAGTTTAAAATATTGTAAACAGTTTGCGTTAAAAATAGTTTTCTCAGATTTTCAATTACAAAATACATTAAAATATAATTCACAGAATTAGTGAAAAGTGACAATAAATTTATAATGAATTATCGCATAAAAATAAAATTAAACTCTATATTTAAATAAAATATTACAACAACTGAGTTTGTATTAACATGTCTTTCATAAATACATTGTGGTAATAGAGGGCGGACTTTGCGATCGGCGATCTGGTGGTCAGTACAATCCGTGAGCGATATATCGATTTCAGCGAACCCTTCATGGATTTGGATCTGTCGGCTCTGATCAACAAACAAAATGTCGGAAATATGACCTCATTTGCACACCTCCTGCACTCCAACTTAACGTATGGCACACTCCGTGAGAGCGAGACGTATCGGTTTATGTCGATGTCGGCCGACCTGACCATTCAGAATCTGCAGAGATATATATTCATGAATAGCTATAATCTCGTCGACTCCCGACAGGAAGGCATCGAAAGGGCTCGCAATTCAAACTATGCCTTCATTCAGGTATTCATTTCACTATTTGCTATATTTGTTACGTAAAAT